CAGGTTAAGAATTTTTATATTGTTTTAATGTTTTTAAGTCATCTTTTACCTTGCTAAATCTAGTCCATAAAAGCTCAAATGATTCCTTTGATAATTTTTATAATACAAAACCACATGCAGTTCATGCACTTTTCCACAAGTATAATGAATTTTTATTAAGAGGAGAAAAGATGACAATGGAACAATGAAACTTTCACAATTCTGAAAATATATTTTCAACCTACAAATCCATACTCATCAAAATTATAATTCAAATGTGAATGTAAAATACAGACATTTTCAAATATGCAAAGCCTCAAAAAATTATATCATGTACATTTTCTTAGGAAGCAATATGAGGACAAAATTAGCATATAATCATAAAAATAGTAAGACATGGAATTCAGAAAACAGTATCTAAAACAGAAATGAAGTAAATGAAATCACAAAAGACAGTCAATGTCTCTATTGAGAAACCCAAGAATCACTACTGTGTGTTAGGCTGGCCCTTTAAGGGCTGTCACCACCCAATACCCTATACTATTGTACAACCTTTTCAACCCCAAAAAGTACAGGAAGGTATATTCTATCAAAAGAAGGGTATAAACCAAGAGATAACAGGAGAAATAGGAAACAAGAAAAAAATTATAATAAAATAAAAGGTAACTGGAAGGTCCATGGTGATGGTGTAGTAAGAGAACAGATATTTCTTAGAAGCACTGGTGTGGGGAGCTGTTGGACTATGGGATGGAGCTGACTCTGTGGACAACAGAAACATCTGAACAACATGGGGGGAACAACTACCAAAGATACAAACAAACTAAAGATGACAAAGCAAATTATCAGCTTCCATGAAAGCAAACAGTGAGAAAAGAACAATATAGTACACTATGCTGCTCAGTCAATATTTACATGTCAGAAGCTCTCAGAATGTGGCCTACAGACCTCTTCAGTTCTACTTTCAAGAGATGCACACAGCAAAACTATTTTCATGACACTGTCCTAGACCCCACAGACCGAGCTATGAACCAGGCAGGGGTGTTCTCTGCCCTCATGGAATTCAAATCCAGTGGAGGGAGATGGACAATGTACTGCATGATACTAAGACATCTGCTGACATTTGCATTGGCAGTGTAGAAGCAACAGTGGGTAAAACTGCCGGCACCTAACTATAACTCAAGGTAGTTAACACCAACTATATTAGATTTGTCATTAGATTCTTTACCATCTTATAGTTACAATTTTTTACAAATCCAGTTTAACTTAAAAGTCCTCGATGAAGCACTAAAAATTATTTTTATTAAATTTTAACTTGAGTATCTTAATATTCTATGCAATACTGGTGAGATTGGTAGTGACATTAGCAAATGTAATTTGGAGGACCTGCTTACCTCAGCAAACCAGTATTTTCCAAATGACCAATTCATGACATTACTAGACTTGTGTAAAAGACTCATTTAAAATCCAAGATAGATCAATGAGATTTTAATTTAATAGAGTACAAAAAATTTGCCAACATGGTTTCAAATTCTACACTGTAATAACCTCTAAGTAAACATACTGTGAGTTTTAGTGAGACATCAAAGAAAAATACCCACAATTTTCTGGAAAACCTATTAAAGTATCCCTCCTACCTCTTCCAACTGCATGTGTGTGTGAGGTTGGATTTTCTTCATGCATTTCAACTGAAGCACTATAATACAATAGAATAAATACAAATGCAAATAGATAAGACAATCTAGCTGCTATTAGATTAGAGGTTTCGTTTTCAAAATGTTAAATCAATGCAAGCCTTCTTACTGATTTTTATTTTGAAAATAAAATTTTTCATAAAACTAGAGTTTTTAAGTAGTTTAAAGTTATTTCCATTTTAATATTTAATATATTAACTTAAAAGATATAGCCTACTGTGATAGTTGACTGTGTCAACTTAAGTAAGAGAAGCTTAACTAAATTGACTCAGAAATTCCACGCACTAGCATGTAGAAGACCCACCCTAGGATGGCTTTTCACCTGGATGGTGTAAAGGGAAATGAAGAAGGACAGATCTGCTTCTGTTTCTTCTGAGGAGCTCCAGTCTTCACCTTTGATATCATCTCCTGGCTTTCAGCACAGATTCTTCAGCCTTTCATCACAAACCCACTGGCCTCCATACAGGACACTGCAGTGAGCTCCCGACCTTCAATTGGATCCTTCAGATTCCCAGTGTACAGACACAATGTCTGCACTCTTCAATAACCAGTTGTGTGGGTGACCACTATAAGCCAATCTTATAAATTCATATGTATTGTATATCTTGTATTATATCTGTTTTTCTAGCAAACACTGACAGATACAGAATTTGGTACCAGTGAGATGGGGTCGTATCTGTGTTACTGTGATGGTATGACTGTATCTGACAGTCTCAAAAGCCTTTGGGAATGGCTTTGAGAAGAGTTTGGAAATGTTCACAGATGCCAGCTAAAAAAGTAGTGCTGCAACACCTTATACTGTATTGTATGGGAGATTCTGGTCAGAGTTCAGAAGACCAGAAAAGCTGGTAAGGACCAGGATCAGAGGGCTTCTGCTGGGAAGGACTACATTAGCTGCTGGACGCCAGATGATGTGTGTTAAGGCTTGACAGAAAGTTTGTCTGCATTTTGCTCAAGCTCAGAAACTTTGACTGAGACTGAGATTACAGGTGGCAGACTAATGAATCTGGCAGAAGAAATTTCAAGGCAGTTCATTGTTGAGGTGGTGGCATGGCTGCTGTGGGGGCTTTTAGCCAGATCTACGTTGAGAACCAAGAGCAAAGAGCCCAACAGAATGATTTAAAATGATCTGAGTGTGGCCAGAAAGGAAGCTCCAGTAAAGCTGTGGACTGCAAAGACAGAACAGAGGAGATCTTGATTGGTGAGAAGGAACAGGAGAATAGAAAAGATGGCCTGAGGACATCACAAGCAGCAGCAGGGCTCCACCGTTTACAGCCTCAAAATTGCTGAAGCGAGACTGCTTTGAGAAGAGAGTCACAGGGCACCACATTCCAGAATGGCAGCAGCCTAGGGAAGTTGTTCCTCAGGATTTGGTTCATTGGCACTGGATCCCTATAGCCAAGAAAGAGTGAAGCCTGGCTGCTGCTCCAGCTGGTGGCAGTCCTTGGCATCATCCATGTGCTGCTGGTTTTAGCTGCAGGCAGGATGCAAGAGTTGTGGGGTCAGGAAGGCTTCCACCCAGATCTCAGAAGCAGGCCTGGCAGTGTGCCCCTGAGAGGGCAGTGTGTGAAGCTGCAGCTGTAGTGGAGACCCCATAAGTTTAGAGAAACCAGGGGCATGGATCATAACAATGGCTGTAAGGAGGGAACAGAGCAGACCCGAGGGAGAAGCCATGGGAGCTTCAACCACCAGCAGTGCCTTAGGGGCAGAGCCACACAAGCTCTTTGGAGTTTACATCTTGCCACAGACTGCTTGAGATGCTGCACATAGAACTACAGGACTTACTGTTGGCCCTGCTGGATTTTGCACTTGCTTTGGTCCCATTCCTTTGTATCCCCGTTTGTAACTTTTGGAATGGAAATGTCTGTGTTGTCCCATTGAGTACTGGAAGTGTTTAACCTTCTTTTCATTTGTACTGGGGCTTGAAGCTACAAGTTTTCCTCAAATCTCAGGGGAAATTTTGGACTTGGAGTTTTCAGCAATGCTGAAAGTGATAGGACTTTCACAACCCCTAAAGATGGGCTAAATGCCTTTTTCATAAAGGGAATGTGTGTGAGTCTTTGTGGGTCCAAGGGTGAGATGTTATGGCTTGTGTTTAGGTGTGTACCCTCAAAGCCTCATGGGGTCATAGGTCGGGCTTTTTTAGAGGTGGCTGAATGTAGTGTGTGTGACTGATTCATGGTGAATCAATGTGGGGACTGAGGGTATGCCATAATCACTTCTTGGCCTTTTGGCTGAGTTAAAGGTGTGTGCTTACTAAATCAATCCACTGCTGGGTTTAATACTGCCCTATTCCAAGTAGCCTAGATAGAGTATAAAAGAGGCAGAAAAATGCTGCTAAGATCCCTTGCCTGCTTTACTACCTTCTGCCCACCATGAACTGTTTTTCCTCTGCAACGCTCATCTCCCATGCCACCCTGCCTTAGAGCCAGCCAACTACGGACTGAAACCTTCACAAACTGAACCAAATAAACCTTTCCTTCCTAACTCTGGGCATCAGGTATTTTGTCTCAGTAAGGAGGAATATAACTAAGATACCTTTAAGTTTTACGGGGATAAATGGGTTCTAAAACCAAAAAGTTTGAGAAGTACCAGCATAGATGTAATAAGCACTAAATAAAAATTTAACCAAAATTGTAAATATTACTTTGCAAAGCTAGAGTAGACAGAGATTCCTAATGAAATAGGTAGTAAAAGATAAAAATGTACTCTAAGCCACTTGCCAGAAAGAAATGCTTTGAAGATCTATATTTATTTATCTCTACAAAAACCTCATTTATTCTAACCTGAAATGTGTCCTCCTTACTAAAACCAGGACCTTCTTAAAGCTAGAAACACTATCTTTTTAAAATGCTGTCTTCTTTGACCTCTGTAACTCTACAAGAAATCATGATACACTGTATCATACAGCAAATATTCAATAATTATTTGACTCAATGAATAAATGAGCTAATCTAATTCACAAAATTAGATCACAATACAGCAAACAGCTATATCTTCCATTTTTAAAACCTATAAAGCAGTGCTGTATTGGAAAGTCACATTTGTGAATGAGAACTCATTTGGTGTATTCTTAAGTCAGTGACTGATTATGCCACTTTATTTGCATGTAAATACATAGGAAACCACACATGTACACAAGTATATTCATTTCTATTTATTAGCTTTTTCTTATCTGTCATAACTTACAGCAAGAACAGGTGTATTTCAGTAAAATCAATATTTTTTCCCTCTCCCCTACCTCTTCTCCTCTTATATTTCACTGTTTCATACATCACCTCTCCACCAGTTCCCAGCATCCTAGGAGAAACAAAAGCAGAATAATCTTACCAATGGTATGATTTCCATAAAGAAGCTGCTCCAGAATCGCAGTTTTCCCCACAGATAGTAATCCACAAACCACAACCTTGCATCCCTTTCCCATCTTCTCTCAGGATATCACTGTGAAGAGAATAGAAGGTCTTTACTGTTGAAATGTATCTCTTTTCTTCCTTTTGAATTTTAAATTTAATCAGTAATATATACACAGGATAAACTTTGACTATATAAAAGGACATACAGAATAAGATTCCTTCCAAATACTATTCCCCAGTTTCCCATTTGCTCCCTTAGGACATTCATTGATACAAGTGTCTTACTTATCTTCAGAGATAATCTAGATTTACTGTAAGATTACAATACACATGACACAATTGCTTTTTAAAAAAACATTTTACAATTCAGTATTGATAAACCTATAGGTATCCAATAAAAATCTTTAATCCTCGAAAGAGGCTGCCAACTCATCAATATTTATCTGGAAAAATAAATATTTAAGTAAAACTTTAAAGGGACAAGGACAAAAAAATTTTGGACAGATAATGGACCTGGGTTTTTAAAAAGAAATACTAGCCAGGTGTGGTGGCCCACGCCTGTAATCCCAGCACTCAGGAGCCTGAGGCAGGAGGATCCTTGCGAGTTTGAGACCAGCCTGGGCTACAAAGTGAGCTTAAGGCCAGCCTGAACTGTACAGTGAGACCCTGTCTCAAAAAGAAAAAAAAAGAAATACTAATAATATTAACATTACTGTCAACCTAGTCTCAGGAGTGTGCAAAATTGGATTTTGGTAGTCACACCAGCTCTTTTAGTCATACTTCTTTTTGAGGAAGCACAGACAATGCTAGAAAAATTGCCCTAGTACTTTAAACTAGAAAAAAGAAAATTCATTTTTTGAGCTTTCCAAGTTATATCCAAGAAATAACAAGTTCAGGTAACATATTTTTTTCAAATTTCCTCAAGGCTTTTGTTTTCTAAAAAGGTACCAGAAGCTAAGGCAGACAGGAAAAAAAGCTCATTAAACACAACAGAATAATCTGATAAAATAAATTCAAATTTCTACATTGCTTTTTGCTGTCTCCCACCAGCTTCTTTCCACCAACTGTCTTACCTACAAATGGACATGCCATAACCTTGGCCAAAAAAGATGACACAACTCCTTCTATTCAGAAACAACCATAGCAAAGCAAATGCTGACTCTCTGTGCTCACTGGACTGTGACAACTAAAAACCCAACGCAGGACACATCTTATTGGTACCAGAACATTAGCTATCTTCGTATACATGTGTGTTCTCCAGCACTGTTAGTTTTACCAACTCTGAAACAAATGAAGTTTCCTTAAGCCACTTTATTTGCTCAAAGTGTGTAATTTTTTATGACCCAAATCACCTGCAACTAGTCAGATGACAGAAAAAATGTTAATGCTAATATTTTTGTAGCACAGTGACAACACCGCATTTATTTCTAGAGTATACTGTATTTTACCTGCAAGGCAAATAACCATTTCTCTGTGATGCAACCATTATTTCTAGGGTGGCAAACTCAGGAAATAGTCTAGATCTCCCCAAAATATTTACCACTTCCCTCCCTGAGAACTAGTTCTCTTAAGAGACTTTCTTTTCTTTATATTTTCAACATAACTACAATGGAAAAATTCTTTGCCTTTATCAGTAAGGCCAGAGCTTTATGTAACACAGATTATCTATGACATGTGATCTACCTCTGTACCTACAGCCTATTTTAAAGGGTTTCTACAAATGCAGGTATCTCTGAATTTATGGTTTTATTTGTGTGTGTTTTTGGGTTTTTTATTTTGTTTTGGTTTTTTCAAGACAAGTTCTCGCTGTGTAGTTCAGGGTGGCCTTGAACTCACTCTGTAGCCCAGGCTGGCCACAAACTTACAGTGATCCTCCTGCCTCCACCGTGTGAGTGCTGGGATTACAGGCATGCACCACCATGTCTGGCTCATTTTGGGTTTTGTTTTTGTTTTCTGGTTTTTGGCTTTTTGTCAGTATTACAGATCAAACTCAGAGCCTCACATTGAGCTATATCCCTAGGCTTTTTTATTCTGTACTTTGAGACAGAGTCTTATTAAGATGCCCAGGCTAGCCTCAAATTCACAATCCTCCTGCCTCAGCCTTCTGAGCAGCTGTGATTACTGACATGCACCACTGTCTTCACCTAAATTTATGATTAATGTCACCTCATTTATCATTTGTCCACTCTTTCTGAATGCTATGAGTTCTTGTTAAACTATGATACCACTGAATCTTTCTTTCAGTGGTTTTCAATGATAATAGCCACCCATGGTGGCACATGCCTGTAATCCCAGCAGCACTCAGGAGGCTGAGGCTAGAGGATTATTGTGAGTTTGAGGCCAGCCTAGGCTACATATTAAATTCAAGGCAAGCCTGCCCTACAAAGGAAGATCCTGTCTCAAAAAGAAATTAAAGGAAGCTGCCACGTTGGTATCTAAGAAGAGTTTGAAGGAGAAATAAATCTACCAGCAGAAGAAAAATAACGGCAGTGCAATACAATTCTATCAGAAAAAGTTGCTGCTGGACTCTAATCTTTTTGTTATTTCCCTTCCTCTGAAAATGTCAGCTCCCACAGAATTTCTAAATACCAATCTTTACCATTTTTCTCTCCTTCCTATTCAAATGGATATAAATAAATGCCCCTTTATCACATTATACCAATCTTCTAAAAAACTCAAGTGCCTTTAAAGGGTGCACTTATACTGCAGCTAAAAGAAAGCAGTAGCTAGCCACAGTGAGAAAAAAGCAAAACAAAAAACCAAACAGTAAACCCCAATGATTCATAGTAGCCCTCTGTAAAAATAAGGCAAGTATAAGTGTAAGAGACTGCAGCAAACCGGGAAAATGCCAAAGCCAACAGAATCCTGAGACATTAAGAAATCAAATGCTGGGGGCTGGGGATTTAGCTCAGCGGCAAAAGCGCCTGCCTGGCAAGCGCAAGGTCGTGAGTTCCGTTCCTGGTACCGGAGAAAA